AGAGGCCAGGGACAGCTCAGAACCCCACCCCCCAGCGGGGCTCCACTTACGGGGAACCCCTGGAGGCCGCCCCCTCTCCTTCTGAGTCCCAGACATCAGCTGCAGAGCACTGGCTCCCACCCCAGAGCTATGATGCTTACAGTACTGTTCAGGCTCCCATTCTACAGATGACAAAACTGAGGCTCTGCAGGGTTTGGGGACTTGCCTGAGGTTCACAGCAGTGCTGTGTGTCAGGGGTGGAATTTGCTTTCCCAGATCAGCCTCTGCCCTGTGCATAAGCTATTTCCCAGCTTTGAGTCTCAGGAACTGACTACACTCAAAAATGATGGAGCTGTCCCCCACACCAAGTCATCATCACACGTGTAGGTTATCTTTGTTGATACTTGCTATTTTCAGAATTAAAAGCAAGGACTCCATGGGCTTCATTAATTCACTAGTAATGACAGCAAGCCCATTGTACATGAACTGGAAGAATGTCTTCTCATGAAAGATAACTTTCTTTCCCAAAAGCAAAAGTCAAGGAAAAGAGCTGGGTGTGGTGGCACACACCTGTAATCGCAACACTCAAGGAGGCCAAGGCAGGAGGACTGTTGCAAGTTCGAGACGAGACTGGGCTACAAAGTGAGCTCAAATTCAGCCTGAACTGAGACCCTGTCTCAAAAAGAAAAACAAAATGTCAAGGAAAAGAGTTGGTTTGTATTTTGCAAACCTCCTGCATCTTGGCATTAGGAGAAGACAGGATTTTGCCACCTGCTTCCTATATTCAGTACGTTGCTAGATTCTGTTTGGGTTATAGCATATGCAAAAATTTGTCAGGCCCCAGAAAGCATCCCCAAACACATTACATCATACTACCCCGTCTTTCACACTGAAACCCAAGTCCCTAAAAACTTACTTGCACAAAATAGATGCTCAATGTTAAGTGAATTCAGGAATGAGCAATTCTAGAGCCATGCTGGGGTAGGGTCGGAGAGCAGGGTGGGGCTTTGTCTGTGAGCATCCGTTCTCCTGGAAGCTGCTCGCTGGGAAGAAGGGGAAGAAAGTTCATAAAACGTTCCAGTTAGGGAGCTGCGAGGGGCCGTGCAGGCTGTGGACTCTGCGGGACGTCTGCGATGTTGTGTGGAGCAGGAGCACTTTGCTCCCTGAGTCTGGGCCCTGGCAGGGGGTGGGAAGAGGGGAGCATTTCCTACTTTGCACCCCTAGGTGTGACGTGGGTGTGGCAGGGACAAGCAAGTCCCAGATTCCTGGGGAAGGTGCCAGGCGGGGAGGACTGCAGAGGAGGTGGGCCCTCATCCCAGCGCCACTTACACAGCCTGGGCCCGGAGACAAGGGCAGCGAGCACAGGATGGCACCCACCAAATACTCAGCCAGTGCCCAGAGAACGATACCCAATGAACAACCCGCGGTCTGCTCTTCTTAGCCATGTTGCTGGGGCCCTCGACCCAGGGATGCTGTGTCCCTTGGGAACATTTGCCGATGTCTGGAGATGACTTTGGATGTCACCAGCCACGGGCAGGGGGCCCAGGTGTGGGAGGAAGAGACCTGAAATGCTGTTAAACAGCCGACACCTCCAGGGGAAACCCCACAAAACTTACCCAGCCCCATGTGTGGGCAGTGCTGAGGCTGCAAACACTGATGTAAGGGAGAGAAGAGGGGCTCTCACCTCAGAGCCCTGGGTTCGAATCCCAGATCTGTCACTTTCTAATTCTGGGAAATGGCAAGAGAAAGTGCGAGCAGCCCCAAAAGACTGTGACAACAAACATGGAGGACTGTGCCTCCATGGGCCTCAGGAAAGCCGGGGTCCCCAGCCTCAAGGGGTCTGAATGACACAGGCCTCCACTTCCACTGGGGACGTTCATGGCGAAGCTGCCAAGAGAATGGTCCAAGACTGCAGCTGCTTAAGTCACAACACACGAAAAGCAAGGCCAGAGTATTCAAAAATAAGAGGGTTCACAGTGGAAAGGGTTTGTCCTCTTCTTTCCACTGAAAAGCATATTAGTGTGTTATTTTGACATTTTTTTCCATCAAAAGGCGAAAGGGAACGGGAGGAATGAATTCAGCTGAGCGCTCCTCATCTTGGGCCTAACAGTGGTCTTGGCATGGATCTGATCTCCACATTGGTACTCGACCAAAGTAGGACGCGATCACTGGGTGAGATGAAGAGCGAGCCTTTCAGGGATCTGCTCTGCGACTCGAACCTTCCGACAGGGACCCCGAGTCCTGCAGAAGGCAGGTCACACTCAGGGCTGACGGGCGCCAGGGCGGGGAGGCAGGAGCCACGGAAAGGCTTCCTGCAGGCATCTAGACTTGTGCAGCACTGCTGAAAGCAGAGACCCTGCGGGGAGGAGAGGTCTCCCGGGAAGAGGCAGGGAAGACCTGCAAAGACCCAGGACGACAGTCCCAGAGAGACCCTCCCTAGAGAGGTGGGAGCCGTGAGTCAGGAGTGAGTCACCCGGGCTCTTTCCTGCAGGGAAGGCGGGGGCTGCTGGGGCCTCGGTCTGAAAGCTCCTTGCTGAGACTCTGTGACTCCACCCCGCTCACACCCCATCTCCAGAGGGGCCCCTGGCTGTTCTGCAGGGGTCAAACACCACTCTGGGGAGACCCTGCCTCAAACACAAAATCAGATGGACCCAGGGCTTTGGAGCCCAATGAGGAGAGGGGAGCAGGAGGCCGACTTGGACCCTCCTCACACCCACACACACTTCCACAAATCACATGGGCGTGCCACCTGCTGGACACTCACTTGTGGGGTCAGGGCTGGGCTGGACCCTTGAACACATGGGCACAGCCATTTTCTGGGAGACACAGACAAACGTGGAAACAAAACCGAGCAGAGGGGGTCCCCTACCAAGGACACCTGGCTGGAGGAGCTCAGAATAGGCCACGCACCCACCAGAAGGTAGCTCCTCTGCCCTGCTGCTACCTGCACAGCCATTTCCACCTCTGCCTGGGCCACACCCAGCCCACCCCTCTCTTCTCCTTTCTAGGACGACGGGCCAAAAGGCTGAACTCTCAGCTTCCTGCCCTTCACACTTAAGGGGCACCGAGTGAAGGGCGTGTGGTGGTGCACACCTGTAATCCAGCACTCAGGAAAGCTGATGCAGGAGGATCATGAGTTCAAGCCCAGCCTGGATACTTTAGAAATTTAGCAGTAGCCCGTCAAAAACAAAAAAAGTAGTTGGAAGGGCTGTGCATGTAGCACAATGCAAAGGCCCTGGGTTCAATCCCTAGTACCACAGAGGCATAGTTGTGACTAAGGAAAGAACACCAGAAATCTTCTGGGAAGGAGGAGGCATCTGGGAAAGTTTATGATTTCCCCAGTAAAAGTAAACAGTCCCAGCTAGTGTGACCTCTTGCTGCTCCCTTCTGCCTGGCCGGTGAGCACGATGCCTGGAGCTACAGCAGCTCTTTCCACCGCCAGGGCGAACAACAGCACCAAAGTGATACAGCCCAGCTCCAAACAGCCTGGATCTTCAGTACCTGGTGGAGTTTCTGCTCCTGCTGCCGCCTGTTTGCCCCCAAACTGCTTGTTTTGTGACAAAAATAATCTCCTAATGCTTTTTTTTTCCTGGTATTGGTGATTAAATCCACACCCTTTGCACTGAGTTATATCTCCAGCCCTTTTTATCTTTTATTCTAACAGTCTCCCTAAATTGCTAAATTGCCCAGACTGGGCTTGATCTTGCGATCCTCCTGCCTCAGCCTCCCAAAGTGGTTATCCTAATTATGCGAGCTACAATGGATTGAGTTCTCTGTTACTTGCTGCTGGACATACTGTCAGTGACATCAGTCAATTCCTAATCTACATCCCAACCAAAGTCTATCCCTGCCCCAAGCTTCATCTTACCATGATTGCTCCACGCCACTGACCCATATAATCGCTCTCCCACTCCCTGAATCTACTGTAAACAACTCTCCCAAGTCCCAGCATCCCTGACATGTATCCACCTGACCCTAAGGCTTTGTGCTGCAGGGGCTGAAGTAAGCATTCATTCTGTATCCAGCACACCGCACAGCCCCCTCCATTCAAGACCCAGAGACTCTGCCCACCTCCCACTTGCTGAGCTCTGCAAACACCTCCCCTCTGGTCCTGGCCTGGCAAGGGAACCAGCCGCCCCTGAAGGCCAGTGAGCATCCAGCGCACTTCCCTCTCTGGGCTCAGGGCATATCTGTCTCTCTGAGCTCAAATACCCTCCCATTCCGTTCTGCGGTGAAACTAAGAGGAAAAAAACAAAAGCCTTTGCCTTCTGTTTAAAAACTTCATTTCAAAACACTGGACCTTGTTGATCATTTGACAAACACAGTGTTGAGCAATGCCTCAAGAGGCCCAGAGGGACACTCGGGAACACCCTCCATCCAGGGGTGACCGAATGGGAGTGACAGATGGCTCTGAAATGGCTGAGTCAGGCCCATTCGATCACACGGGGACAGTTGAGGCAGCGCCCCTCTTCCTAAGCCCCCTCAGGGCTCAGAAACATCTGCCCTGCAGGAGCTGCTGCTGCTTTGGGGATGTGGCAGCAGGAGGTCGTGCCAGCCCTCACCCAGCCACCTGTAGCAGTGTCTCACCACCACCTCCTCCACCGCCTTGCTTTAGACCCTGATTCTGAAGTTCCGTCCAACTTCAGCACGCTTTTGTTGGGGGCAGGGAGAAGGTGACAGCCACAGCCTTGCCCTCTGAGGGACAGCTGGCCCGGGAGACACAGACCGACGAGGAAGCTGCATGGTCACGACAGGTGATGGCCTCTGTGTGTCTCAGTTGCGTCTTCTCTAAAACTGGGATGACAATGCTACTTATGGGGTATTATCAAACTGTGGTGAATGTTTAAATTTTTTAAAAACTGTATTACAGTAAAAGGCACACTGCCAATTACTCTCCCTCAAAGAACTCCCCCTAGCTTCACACTTCTCCCACCCTCCTGCCCTTTTCTAAAGCAGTTCTGAAAGCCTTCTTTCGTGTATATCTTTAGTTGTGCTGCCATGAACCAATTCAAAAAGCTTACCTTTTGTTACCTCCCAGCTGACAGGTTCTTCTCTCAACCCAAAAAGAATTACAAGGCAGAGAGTCACAAAAGGACTGAGCAGAAGTATTTACTGTAGAACAAAGGCAGAAAGAAGCATTTTAAGTGAAGCACAAAGTCCCTGGTACTGAACCCGGGGGGACCAGAGCTGGTTGCTACAAGGACTCCCTCTCTGTCCAGAGGTTTTATTGCCAAAAAGAGATGATACTGAACTAAAAGCATCAGCACAAACAGAACAAAGACTTCTTTACAGAGGTTTGAATATCTTATTCCTGGGCAAGAAAACTTTGCCAACCCACTGAAGGCCTTGGTTGTTGATCCTTGGCCAGATCCCTCAGAGAATCTCCCCAGCTCCCCCTGTGGCTTGGCTCTTCCCTGGCTGCCGGTCCCGTCCCCAGACCTCTCTTTGCCAGAACTGTCTCCACATCCCCTCCCCCTGTAGACAAGTGTCACTCTGAGACATCCTCTCACCCTCCCACAGGACCCTGCCCGTTCTAATACACATCATGTTTTATCGAGAATGATTGTTTAAATTACTCTTGAATGTCTCTTGTTAGGTTAGGAAAATGACACCCAAACCTTAAAAAATGGAATCTAAGCCCAGCCGTGCCTGTGCAGAAGGCTCATGGTGCATTCTCCCCAGATCTTTGTTTATCTCCCTGCTTCATTCCCCACCTCAGACTATGTTCTCCATCTCTCTGCTGGTGGAGAAAGGGGTGCAGGTCTTTTGCTACATCCCTGTTTCCCCTTTCATGGTCCCTTTGACTTTGAGGAAGAGCCAGAAGTCACATGAAGCCAGATCCAGTGAGTACTACGGAAAAGGACACACCGTAATGTTTTTATTCAACAGCAATTGCCTCAGACATATTCCATCAATTTAGGCTATGGGGGCAGTCACGAAAAGACACTCATGAAAGAAGACTTCCAGAATGGCTTCAGAAAGTGCAAGAATGATGGGATAAGTGTATTCACAGTGAGGGGGGGGACTGTGAGGGAAATGAGTGGCAATGTGTCTTTTACTGTAATCAACGTTTTAATTTTTACTTAAACATTCACCATCTGTCTTGTCACATCTTGTACCTGATGAGACTATTTGGAAAACTTTAGAGGAAACCTCAAGAAGATCCCCCAGTTCACACAGGTGTGAACAGCCAGGGTCAGGAAATCTCCCAGCAGGTATCTGTAGTATATGAAAGCCCCTGAGCTCACGCTATGAACTCCCACAGCAGATGTAAGCACAGCTGGAGACTTGGGGAGAAAAGCACCTGCCCAGTTTATCAGAGCTGACCAGGGGCTCCTGGGAAGTTGAGAACTGCTTTGGGAAGTGCTGGGAAAGGGCTCATAAATGCTTCATGAGGAACTTGGAAGATGAGGCTTCAAGGGCCTGGAGTTCACCCACAGGCGGCGATGCACTTTGCCTGAGAGAGGAAGAAAATAGCTCCTCCTTTGAGCCCCAGAAAACCTTCAGGATTCTTCAGATTCCCAAGGTGCCATGAGCTTAGGTATTCAGGGCATATAGGGACCAGAGGAAGGTCTGAGGTCTATGCTGGGTTCAACACTGTGCGGGCCTGAGGCTGCACCTGGAAGGAGCGAGATCCCAGGGGAGCTTTGTCCTGTCCCAGGCAAAAGAAACAACAGTCTGCAAACTTGAAGACCAGGCGGCCAAGGAATGTGTGCTTGGCTCCAAGGAAATAAAACCATGTTCGAAAGTTGGAGAAACAGAAGCAGAACTCCAAAGGGGTGGAGGAGGCAGCCATGCAGGTGGCCAGGTTGGTACATGAGATGTACCTCGAGTGAAAACAGTCAAACTTTGCTTAACTATGACCCCAGCCAGAGGTAGTGACAAAGAGTGGCCATCCACATAGGCGCCCACATGCACACACATCTACAGGTGGAAGAAAAGACAAGGAGGAGATGGGCTGGGTATGATGTGGAGGTGCCCATGGCCATTTTACCTGTCCTTAAAGAGGCTGGCCCCAGTGACATTGGGGTTATGTGGGCAGGGACATAGAGAAAACACTCAGAAGTGACCTTAGGGGAGCCATGTGTCTCTGGTTTTGTCTTTGTACCTGTTGTGTCCTGCGTCTGTATCTGGGACACTAGGGCTCCCTGTGTCCACCTGTGTCTCTGTGTCCCTGTATCTGTGGCTCTTTGCCCCTGCAGGCCATGGAGAAAAAACATAAGTTCCTGGCGTGAAGCTCGTCCACGTTCTTTCCCCAGATTTCCTGACCCTGCATCATGGGTCCAAGGGAAGTGTGACTGGATTCTGGCTGCATCTGGAAGACTGTCTCAGAGCTGCAAAGCCTGGGGAACACCTCGGCCCCAGCACCTCCCTTTAGAAACAGAAAATAAGATGCATATTGTGGATAGCAGAGATGCTGTCAGAGGAGAAGTGACCCAGCCAATTGAAAGGTCTAGAATTGAACCATCTGACACAATGGCCACCAGTTGCGTGTAGTGACTTGAAATGTGCCTAGTCTCCAAGGAAATATGCTAAAAATATACATACACTCCAGACTGCAAAGGCTTGACATGAAAACCAGGATGTAAGATGCTCAATAATTTCATATCTATTGCATGTTAAAATGGTATCATTGGGGATATACTGGGCTTACAACTATATTACTAAAAGACATTATACCTGTTCTCTCTCTCTTTCTTTCTTTCTTTCTTTCTTTCTTTCTTTCTTTCTTTCTTTCTGCTATATTGGGGATTGAATCTAGAGCCTTTTCACTGAGCTATATTCCCAACACTTTTTTATTTTTTAGTGTGAGACAGTCTCTCACTAATTCACTGAGCTGCCTATGCCAGGTTCGAACTTTTCATCCTCTCTCAGCCTCCCAAAGTACACCACCACGCCTAGCTTCTTCTTATTTTTCCTATTAGAAAGTGTCAAGCCATGTATGTCACTCACATTTCTTTTTTTCTTTTGAGACAGGGTCTCACTATATGGCACACATTGGCCTTGAACTCACAGCGATCCTCCTGCCTCAGCCTCTCAAGTGCTGCTGGGATTACAGGTGTGCACCAGCACATTTGATTTATTGCTTGCATTTCTGAACCATTTTATATTTCTGTGGGATACACTGGCTTAAGAGTCTTGCACCAAACATCCCACTTCTCTTAATTTCCCCAGCTACACAATAGGTATAGTAAGACCTAGGTCTTGGGATGGTGCATTAATTGAGAGAGTATATAAAGGTGCTTTTAAATCTTAACGTACTCTTCCAATAGGGAAGTAAGGTGGCGGTGTTAGTGGCAGGTATTAGCCGCAGGTGTTAGTGGCAGGGTGGAGATACTGGTGGTGATGGTGATGGTGGTGCTTGTGGTACTGGTGGTGATGATGATGCGGCAACTGTGGTGGCAGTGGTGGTGATTGTGGTAATGGCAGTGGTGCTGGTGGCAGTAGTTCAGACCTGGGACAAGACAGCAGAAACTTTCAAATAGTTTCCCTTCCAGAAAACACACAAAAAGGTCATCCCTGAGAGTAGGCAGGGCATGCAGTCATCCACCATGGTCTTAGTGCTACAAACGAATGACCCTGCTCCCAGCCCTGTAGACCTGCTGTGCAGACGAAGCTTTTCTAACACCGAGTCATCACGTCCTTGATCAGTATCCAGACCCCCCTCACCCTCCACAGGGCAGCCCTCCCTGCTCCCAAGCTCTGCTCACACAGGATGTCTGCACACCTCTTGCCCCAAGGCACCCACCCTTCCCAGCACCACTGCACATCTGATAGGATTTCCCAACTATGCTTCTTCTCTGCTCTTTGCCAGAGACCCAGGGTCCCAAGGGCTCCAGAAAGTGAAAGATAGCCCCAGACTTGGCCTGGAGGGACCAACGCCCTCCTGGGACTGTCCCCCGGAGCAGGCCCTTTTGCAATGGTGGTCTCGCAAGCACTGCTTACAAACCCAGTTGGGCAAGCTGCTTTGCGTGATGTGGCTATCTCGAGTGAACAGCATCCTCTGTCCCCTGCCGGGTCACTTGCTCAAGACATTGCTGGACATTGCATTAGAGCCACTGACACACCGAGTTTTGAAAGTGAAAACAGGCCATCCGACTCAGGATAAGATAGCATTTAACTCATTCACGATTGCACCAAGTTTTCCCCAGGCCGCAGGGACAGAATGAACATTGCAACAAACGCAGTCAGAAGCCGCTGGGGATGGTTGGAACCTGAGGTCACCTACAAAATGAGCCTTCCAAAGGTCAACAGGCCAGATGGGGTCTGCATTCTCTTGGCCTCAGTTCCCCCCACATGGGCTTCTGGGACTGTTTTGCTCCTCAGCTATCAAGTTCAGTTCCCAAGGAGCTGGGGGCCTTGATGTTGCTCCATCCCACCCCTGTTGCCCCTTCTGGCTGTTTCTTGCTGATGCAGCCCTTGAGTCGAAAAACTAGGTAAGATATATTTCTGGTATCCATTGCCTTCTAGCAAACCCAAAGGTCCTGGCTTAAAGCAGCAGTGATTCCTCATGTCTCACAATTCTGCTGGTTGGCTGGTCAGCCACTCTGTTGCCGGGTGGTCAGGTGGAGAGAAAGTGGGCAGGCTGGCTCCTGGCTGGAGCACCTTGGTTCTCCTCCACGAAGCCTCTTACCCTCTAGCCAATTAAGTGACTTCTTCCATGGTAGTCTCAGTACAGGGTTCCCAGAGAAGGCAGGTGTGAAGGCCAGCCCAGGTTCGAAGGGTGGCAGTTGCTGAAAAACACATTCTTGTGCTATTGCAAGGCACAAGAGTATAAATGGTCTCTATGAAAACTTTCCTCACCATTGGAAATCACTTGGGTACAGTCATAATGTCTGGAGCAGAAATCCAAGCTCCTGACTGGCCAGGGGTCCCTCTCTAATGGGTGAAGAACAGGGCATAGGGCATCACATGGCAAAACAAAGTGAAAGAGCCAGAGAGTGCTCAGTTTTCTAACAAAGCCACTGCCAAGATAACCTGTGAATCCATGAATGAATTAATCCATTCATGACCCAGTCACCTCCCAAAACATCCTACATCTCCAATATCATCGACCTGACTTTGAGAATTACGTTTTCAACACATGAAATTTGGGGACACATTCAAACCAGAGTCCCTCCCCTCCCGTGCTGCCCACAGCTAGCCATCCTTCTTCTAAGCTCCAGCACGTGACAGCTTCCTGAGCCTCAACACCAAGACTCAAGGTCTGGACCCCCTGAGGACAGACTGCAAGGAGGACGGTGGCCGTGCGCTAGGAGTCAGCCTATGCTGTGACCTCTGCCGCCTGCTCTGAGCATCCGGCCATTTCCTGCTTACAACAATTTTCATCATCTCCAGTCCGTGGTAATGGCAGCCCCCATTTCATCACAGCACAGACTGAAGCCAGAGGACCAGAACTTTGCCCCAGGACCCAAGCTGGGCCCGGAACCAGAACGAACTCTCTGGACTGGGTCCTGAACTCATTCCACATTGGCCAGCCCCTGGGCCTGGGGCCTGGGCCCTATCTGCTTTGTGGCAGTCTCCCCACCTGCCTGGACTCTTGGCCAGCACAGCTTCTAGCCAGAGGCCAAGGTAGACTGCAGAAGAGCAGCTTGACCTGTTGCCAAAAGGCAAATATTCCCCCAAAGTGGCAGGTATAGAACAGACCTCACTTGCCCTTGGGGTGAAGCTCAGAGTAGGAAGAAACTTCTGTTTCGCCCCCTTCTCTCTATGCATCAGAGGATGATGGAGATGAACAGCCTCCTGTCCCCCACCCACTCCTCCTGACGGTGCCCAGACTCAGTGCCCAGTGCACAGGATGAGTTGGGCCACGGATGGACACTCACCACCAGGCTGTGAGGGGGCCACTGCTACTGTCTCACTTCAAAGATTAAGAAACTCAGTGTCACATAACTAGGACTCAAACCCAGGCAGTTTAGGGCCATCCTGGTGTCCCAGAGAATGTCTGCCTGGATGTCTAGAGCCAGGCTGGTCTCCCCAGCTCTGAGCGCTGTGTGCAGACACCTCACACCCCCTGGCTTTCTAGTCCAGAAGGAGGCAGTGTGAAGAATGGACATTTTGGGGCTGTAGTCCTTGAGGGTGCCCATTTCAGGCCCCAGCCTCCACCTTCCACCTTCCTTCCCTCACCCGCTGCTTGGAATGGGGTTTGCACGTGGTATCCCCAGCTCCAGCAGCCACACTGTGATCTCCGTGGGCCAGGAGAACACTGGGCCTCCAAGAGTGCCCGAAGCTCCAAATTGGCGGCACATGGAACTAAATCCAGCACTTCCTCCCAACACACATTTGATTTTTTTTTCCCCCAAGAGCCCTCCCCACTATTCTGGGTAAACATACTCACAGGCCAGCATGGGAGTCCAGGTCCCTTACCTTCCAAAAGTATTTGCCTCTGCCTCCACTTTCCAGGTTCAGTCCCTGTCCACTGTTGTCCGTTGGAGGATCTGGGCTCAAGGCATGAAGGGACACAGTTTCCCAGCAATTGCAGAGACCTTTCCCATGCAGACCCCAGTGTCATGACCCAGTGAACACAGCCCAAAGGAAAGAATCAAGTCTCCGCAGCAGCTGTTGGAAGGCCTGAGAGCCAGGATGTGTGAGGAGCCAGTTCCACCAGGGCAACAACCAACTGGTCGCCAAAGGAGAGGGCTTGCGATGCAGTAGGCTGTGCTCTAAAGGAGGCTATGGCCAGCCGTGCCAGGCACAGACACCTCAGTGATGCCAGAAGCCCACACAGGTTGAGCACCAACTAGGCACCAGGCGTCACTCTACATATCTCAGGCCTCGCACGTTTGGGCCATGGGCCACAAGCACACAGATGCTCCCTGCCCTCCCTCAGAAGCGGTAACATCTGAAGGACACTTGTCACCAAGGTTGGCAGGTCACATGGCTGCAGCTGGAGGGTCTGCTGGGGTCCAACCACAGCCCTGAGGTCCCAGGCCCTGCCCCCTACGGCCTTTCCCAATCTCCATTTTGCAATCAGTCAGTCTAATGCAGTAAACATCTGCAGCCCAAGGAAAGCTCATTATCCTGATCCTTCTCTGTGTGTTTCATAAAAAGAGCCCAGGGGTGTGGGGGAGGGGGGCCCTCGGCCATCAGATGAGCTCTGATCAGTCGCCCAGCACCCGCCACTTTGCTGAAGCTTCCTGCCCAGTCCTGAACGAACCAAGAGAAGTGACTCACTGGAGAGGAAACAGCAAAACAGACTTGTTGTCCATGGCTTACTAGTAAGGGAGGAAGGTGGAAGGAGAGGCCAGAGGTCAAATTTCAAAATATTCTCACTGAGTCTGCATGGTTAGCTGGGCCCTCTCATGCAGGTCACTAAATATCTCTGGATGGGCTTTCTCTCTAGTAAAACAGCACAGGACTTGACGCCCTCTCTGCTCCACAGGATAACTGACGCCTTACAAGCAGAGACATGAGCCTTTAACCTCACCAGGAGGCAACACTCACTGTATCCCCACAAGAGCTCCATGAGGCGCACAGGGCACTGGATGTCTGCTTCACTACACATGTGAGGAAACAAGGTACGGGGCGGTTTACTCACCCCATCAAACCTTTCATAAGCACCTGCTAGGTTCACAGGACACAGAGACTTTGGTAACTCCCCAAAAGAGCGAACAGCTTGCTGACAGCACCAGGTAGGGAAACCATGGAGCAGAGACAGCCTCTAAAGCTCCCAGCAGGGGAGAGGAGACAAAGCAGCAGGAGCAGCCTACCTCCCTCGGCCTTCTGTACCTTCCCAGCATCTCGCTAAGCTCTTGCTTGGCCTCAGCACACTTGCTGGGTAAAGCATCTGAGGTCTGAGATCCTGGGAGGAGAAGCATGACTACCATGTTTATTTCTATCCTATTAATAGCTAATACCCCATCCTTCGTAAGGTCTTAATGAATGCTTTCATGAATGAATGAATGAATGAATGAATGAATGAATGAATTGCAACAAAGGGAAGTGTAGGAAAGGCACTGGAGGTAAAGGAAACTGAGACCATGAAATTAGGGAAATGGCAAAGTCGATCCCACCTCCCTCTGTGCCTGTCTGCCGAATGCAGCATCTCACGTCCCTGGAGCTATATTCCTGATGACACAGGGTAAACACTGTGTGACAGACCCCCTAGACGGGGACGAGCACCCCGAGTTCCAGTCCCACTTCTGCCAAACCCTAAAGGGCGGCACCTTAGCCTGTTTTCTGTTGCCATCCCTGTCTGCCACGGGCAGGTCACTTGGAGCAAGTGGAGGTTTGTTTGGCTCACAGTTCTAGGGTCTGGGGAGTCCCCGAGCACAGTGTTAGCATGGGCTCAGCGTCAGGTGGGGCCTTCTAGCTGCCTCATACCATGGCGCAGGGTGTCACACGGTGAAGTAGAGCAAGCTTGTCTCTCAGAGAGAGCCAATTTCACAACATAGCCACTCCAGTGATAATCAATAATCCATACATTTGTGGGTGGATTCATTACTTCGTGGAGGCAGAAGCCTCTTGACCCCATCACCTCCCAAGCTCCCACCTCTCCACACTGCTGCATTGGGAGCCAAGTTTCCCACACATAAGATCTGAGGGACACATTCACACCTAGGTAGTGGCCTTGGCCTAGGTCCTAAGGCCTGCAGCATTCTTCCCAACAGAGGATGTCCGTCTGCCCCTTGGCCCATGGATTCAACCAGCCATGTTATTTTTCTTGTCTTATCCCCTAGACAACACAATATAACTACTATTTGCATAGCATTTACATTGTAATAGGTACTATAAATGATTGTTTAAAGCATAGGAGAAGAAGACCATAGTTTATATGCAAGTACCTTACCATGTTATATAAAAGGTTTGAATATCTGGGCCCATAGGGACACTGAAACCAGTCCCCCACTGATCCCAAGGAATAACCACATGTAGTGGCTATAACTCTGGCAAAGAAAGGTCTTAGACTCCCCAGGTTATAGATGAAAAAGCAAGCTCAGAGAGGCTGAGGGGTTTGCCCAAGATCACACAGCATATGAGGGACAGTCTCAGCTCCAGTGCCTCATGGTCCTGTTTCTTTCTTCTGCAGAGCGGTGTGTGGCTCTCAGCAGCCACAAGTGTGGACAGCTATGATGGGCCCAGCAGCAATTTCCAGAGGATTAATGAGCCATGAGAGCATTTTTGTGGTTCATGGCTACACATATACCACACGCTTCACTGGATCCCAGCCATTACTTTGGCCAAAACAACTGAGGCCAAGAGAACAAAAGGACGCTCCACAGTCACACACCAAATGAAAATCTGAGTCCAGACTCAAGTTCCTTCTCTCAGCAGACGCTCACAGCAGGACCACTGTTATACAGGCATCATACTAAGCATCGTGGAGTCTTTGATCTGAATAATCAGGTGTTTACCAGTCAAATTTAACACTTACTAACTAAATTAACCCTAAAAGGTGCAAAAACACTATAAGTGTTTATCAAACCTACTCTTTTCCTCTCTGCAGAGTAGCTCACCATGTCCCCCAGGACTGTGAGTTACAAAGCGCAGGGATCTGACTTCGGTCTCCAAGGGCTCCTTGACTGCCAGGAGGGTATCTTCCAGAAGGGCGACAGCCGGAAGCCCAGCTAGAAAGTGCAGTGGCAGCCCGGGGCGGGGCGGGGTGGGGGCGGTGTTTGAAGGTGAAATTGACTAGATTTGCTGATTATTCAAATGCAGGATGTGAATGAAAGGCGCCCAGGATGACTCTTTGGTTTGGAGTTTGAGGAATTTGGTCCCATTAACCTTGATGAGGACACTGGAGAAGCAGCGGGCCTGGGGAGGGAAATCCAAAGTTTGGTTTGGAATATGTTGTGTTAGAGGCATCCTCAAGGGGTCCAAGTGATGCTATGAAGTATGGGGTCACTGGAGACACAAACATCAGGAGTCATCCAGTGTACCGCGATATTTAAAGCCGAAGAACTGGATTGGATCACTGAAGGACAGCATGAAACACAAATACAAAAAAGATAGGGCTCAGGACTCTCAGGCAGCTGAAAAAGGACACTGAAAAACCAAGTAACAAAGTAACAGGGAGGGGCTGGGGATTTAGCTCAGCGGTACAGCACCTGCCTGGCAAGCACAAGGTCTTGAAAGACAGGGCACTTTGACATAAGGCAGTGTTTTCCCAAAATGGCTAAAAACCTTTACATGTGCTAAAAACAACGTGCTCCCCACAGGATGATGTCCATGGAAACGCAATGGCATCCATTCACTGAAAAGTAGGCGAGAGCTTTTCAGAAAAAGGATCCTCAGTTCCTTCCTCACACTGAAGCACTAAAGATTCTCGATAACTGAGGGGGGAACACATCGGATCTGGCCATTCTCAAACGACATGTGTTCAAAGCTGCAGTAAATGCTGCTGCTGCGTGCCATCAAGGGGGAGGGCGTGGTCCTCAGTACAAGAGGTAACTGTGGAACCTCCGAAACAGAATGACAAGTTTTTTATGTGTTCAGGGTCAGTAGGTTGTGAGCTACAGTTGAGAGAGGGTATTTTCATCTCTGCTGCAAATAATGGATCATTAACAATGCATTAACATGCAATTCCGTTTCACACTGCAAAAAATGGCTGAAGAAACACATGAAACGTTAAAATTAGTGTATGGTGATGGTGCAGAGATCATAGAGACAGTTTGGCAGCGGTCTGAGCAGTTTTGTACTCGTTGTGAATCAGTTGGAGACAAAAAGAATGTCCTTCAACATCAAAAATCCAAAAAAAGATCGAAAGAATAAGTGAAATGACTGGATCAAACAGACAGCTGACCACTAGGGACACTTTGGAGGATGTGAAGGTCAGTTCCATTCAAAGCATTTTAACAGACGTGAATATGAGCAGAGAACCAAATTTGTTCCACATGTCTGACTGCTGAACAGAGGCAATACCCATTTGTAATTCTCAGAGCTGTGCACTGGTGCCGCTTCAGACTGCAGCACTTCAGTAAATGTCGTCAGGGACAGAAACTTGGGTCTGTGATGACGCTGCTGAGACCAACGCTCAGAGCTCTCAGTGGAAATCACCCAAATGGGCTTGTGGGAGAAAAGTGCACCAGTCAGGATCCAGCATCAAGGTGATACTGTGTTTTCTGACCTTGGTGGAATTGTGGGAGTTGAGTTGGTGACCAGGAACCCTGACTATTACAAGATCTTATAAGGGCATTTAAGAAAAGATATGTGAAGAAAACAGCCTGAGAAATGGGCAGATGGTTTCATCCTCCATCATAACAATGGCCCATGCTATGCATTACTTGGTAGAGCAATTTCTGTTAGAAACATGGTTGTCTACCATATTCACCGTATCTAATCCTGCAAATTCTTGCTCTTCCCCAAAGTCAAAGTGACCATGAAAGGTAAACATTTTCAGTAGGCTCAGATTATCAAGGTCGCCACCATAGCACAACTAAAGACACAAAAGGGGACTACTAGAACCATTTCAGGGTCTCACTGAGTTACCCAGGCCGGGCTCCAACGCGTGATCCGTCTACCTCAGTCTCAGCCTCTGAGAGTGTGGGACTACAGGCACGCAGCGCCTTGCATGGCATTTGCCTCCTTTTTTAAAACAGCCGTATAAACTGAAAAGTCTGCCATTCCATTATCAAAGACTAGACTCATCCAAGAAGCAGTCAGGTGTGCACATTCTTTTGTCACCCCAGATACCTTAACCAGTGACAGTGAGCTACTCACTAGCTAGATGCCCATCGAGCTCTATAAGGAATTTAAGAAGGCACTGGGGACAGGCAGGTCAATTAAAGGGTAGGAGTATAGCT